ACAAAATCAGATATCCTATTTCTGAACAAAGTCTTTCACAACCCTCTATAGTCTATAAATAGGGATTAGCTTCACCACTGATGATTTAATCAATAAAAACTCGATTTTATGGTTTCTTCAAGGAATATCTCACAAATTTATTCTGACATCATCATCTAACCCTTACCCCAAACATATGGGGTCGGCTACATGAATCTTGTTTTGCTATTCCATTCTGTTTATGTTGACATCATACATATATTAGGGTTCATTTGGTTCATAGCCAGAATCAGAACCAAAAATCAAAATCCCCTGGAATTGGAATCAGAACCGTCTATTCCCCCCACCTGTTTGGTTCAGAAAAGAATTGGAACCGGATTCCAGATATGCATGACTCCCAAGGAGGATTGGCATCGGATAGAGAGAAATAGGGCTTGGGATGGAAAAATCCAAGGAGGAAAGCATAGAAAGAATAACCATTATGACTATTCAATGGTTGAAAACATTGGATTTGTTTAAAGACTTCCAATCCGAGGACATATATAGGAATTGGTGAGTGGTGGCATCTACAACTTCCATAAAACCTATTGTGCAGGAATTGTGGTCCCCACCGAGACAACAAAGAATGAAACTGAACTTTGATGGGAGCTCTAGAGGTAACCCGGGCCCTTCAGGTATAGGGGGAGTATTCTGAGATGGAAATAGCAGAATTGTGGCTATGTTTTTTTTTTTTTTTTTTGATAAATAGAATTGTGGCTATGTTTTCGGGGCCAATAGGAGTGGGGGACTCGTTGAGAGCGGTGGTGATGCCTTTTCTTCAAGGTGTAAGACATGCCAAACAATTAGGGTTACACCAAGTTGAGAACTTGAGATAGAGGGAGACCCTAAATTGTTAATTGATTGGCTGCAATCAGGCAGTTGGGAGCCTGGATTTATAGACAGTGAATAAGGGAAATCCTCAATATAACAGGGGAGATAGGTGCTTGCTTCAAATGGGCAATGAGATCAGCTAACGATTTAGCTGATGCGTTGGCTAAACAAGGGACTGTGAGGGAGAGTACGTTCTGGGCAGTTTTGTAGTAAAGATTACTTGGGGCTCAACACCCTTTTTTAGGGGTTGACAGTTGTATTTAGTTTTGTATTAATGAAGTTACTGTTTCTAATAAAAAAAAGGGGTTTTGGGGGTTAAGTCACTTGTCTTTTTTTTTGGCCAGCTGGAATGAGATTCTCATTCCCAAGGGGGCCAAAATGGTCATTCCCTCAAATGGGGGAATGTCATTCTACCCAACCAAATGGCTGGAATCAGAATGAGCCATCCGATTCTGATTCCAGACCCCTATTCCCACGAACCAAACGGACCTTTAGTGTTGTAAGTTATGACAACATTAAACTCAGCATACATATTACAAAAATAAAATTAAAAAAAAAAAAAACTCAAAAAGAATCACATTGACCTTTAGTGTTGTATGCCTATCAAGTCTCTAGATGTGCCTCCCATCCTAAAAGGGCCAGGGATCCCCAAGGAATAGCTATCAAAGATAGTATGACACATTGACACTCCTAATGGGGAAGGAGTAGCTATCAAAGTGAAGCAGCCACAATTCCCCAGCATCTCACTCACAATATAATCCATAGATAAGTCTCCTAGTTCATCCCTGATTCTCTGGTATGGTAATGAAATTGATCAATGCCTTATCATCCAAGAAGATCCTGTTGTTTTTTTTTACTCCCATACTGCACACAGGAAAGTAGTCCACATGTATCTCCACATGATCTTACAACTGATGGAATGAGGAGATGAAAGGCTAGGCTTGAATAGATCATTTAGTAAAATAACTATCTAGAAATCCTAAAGGCCATTAACCATTGCCAGTATGGATCTAAGGTTACAGGAAGGGTGGCCAGGATATGGACCTAACCTACAGTACTTCAGCACAAAGTGACCACTCTCAGATTCAAACCCATATGCTCATGTTTCTCAGCACAAGATTTTGGCATTGCACCAGCCCCAAAATGTCCTGTAATCCCGAGACTGGCAATTACCAACCACCCCCTGATAACCATACAGCTCTTTTTTTTAATCCCACCTTTGTTATTTTGTAATGATTGAGCAATACTTTTTTGTACAGGTGAAGATAGTGTTTACACAGTTTCTTGCTGTGTAGGTGTGGAACATTTTTTTTAATACAATACATTACCTTTTCTCAAAAAAAAAAAAAAAAAAAAAAGAATCTGATAACTGAATACACTGAAATCCCTCTAAATTCATCTCTTGTTAAATCAGTTAGCTACTTTAATAGTGACCAAAACAAAGTGTGAAAGAACTCATAGTTTTTATCTTTTTTTCTTGAAGGAATCCTAGAGTTCCTCTCCTATCAAATACCCTATAGAATGGTAGATCTAGTATATTTACACTTGATTTTCTGTCTCCTAGCAGGGTGAATGAAGAAATTAAATTCCAAGTCCGATAGACTCAGAATGTCAAGAGGATCCCATCGAGACCAAAGAGAAAGTGTGGCACAATTTCAAATATGTGTTGCAAACAAAAAATATGGAAATGTCATTAGAAAGCTCACCAGTTTTCTTGCATAAGATATACTCATCAGGGGGAACATCCAAGTCTTTCTCCTCCATAAGACCATATTATAAGTGTTATTCATATCAAGGTTCTAAATATCGGTACAGACTGATACGCTGGATGGGGCATATCAGTCTCTATCAAGGGGCACTTTTTTTTTATTTTTTTCATACCTGTTCAAGGGGGTCGGTATAAGGCCTGCCTACCCCCTGAAACAGGTCAAACCCCGAAACACTGCATATTTCGCGTATTAGTGGGCCACAGATACGATAAGGGCCAATACATTGCGAAATTTTGAACCTTGATTCATATGATAAATATTATAGCAGAAAGATCTAATGATTCTAATCTTTTGTATTATTACCTTGTCTTTTATCTCATCTCATTATTCGAAGTAGGCAAGATATACATAAGTCCTCTTTAATTCCAAAATTATTTCCTTATCATTATCTCAAACCTTAAACCCTAAATTCTTCCAACCTACAAACATATTCCTAACTTCCACAACCTAGAAATAACCCGTCCATCCTTTTTCTTATTTGTTTTTCTTCGAAATATGTTTCCCCATATACATAAATAAACCTAATAAGTTCCCAATTGTAAAATCATTTTCTTTGGGCCTTTCCATTTGGATTCCATTTGAGTTGCTATATACAATCACATACCTTCCAATCTTTTGATTACCCCACACTATGATTGATGTGCACAAGGACCCTGATATGCATCATCATGCTACTTCAACTTCATTGTCAAAATGAAGGACCCTGATATGCATCATCATGTTACTTCAACTTTATTGTCAAAATAAAGGTCAGATGGTCCAGAGTCTTGTATGTAGCCCCAAAGAGGCCAGGGGCCTGGGTATTTGGAGGCTTCAGCAGTTCAATACTGCTATGCTGGCTCAGTGGTATTGGCTGTTTAATGCCTTCCCACATGGCTTGTGGAGGAATATAATTGCAAAGAAGCTTGGGACCAGCAACCTCAACTGGTATCCTGGCACTAGTAACATGCCATATGGCTGCTCGGTGTGGAAGGAGATAGAGAAAGGTCATCAACATTTCATCAGGAACACTGGTTATAAGCTGGGAATGGAGTACTGATCAGTTTCTTATTGGACAGATGGTGTGGGTACAGGCCTTTATTGGAGGAATTCCCATCATTGTTTCTCAATGCAGGAGATAGGAAGGTTCTAGTGGCTAATCAGATTCAGTGGAATGGAAATTCGATGGTGTGGTGACCAACCTTTAGAAGGCACCAAAATGATTGGGAGATTGAGGACCCACTCAGACTCCTATTGAGGCAGAGCTGCAGACCTTCCCAAGAACCAAAAAAAAATGAAAGATGCTGGAGGGTGGGCCAAGGATGAAGTGTTTTGTCAAATCATTCTATTGCAAGTTGATGGAACCTGTGGCTTCTGTCATGCTGAGGAAAACTCGTTTAAAGGGATCTTCATTAAGTTCAAGTTTTCAACTCCTTGGTGTTATTTCTTTTGGTCCCCACATTGAGTCTGCTGACCACCTATATTCATAGGCTGCCGTATTGCTAGAAGCAGGTGGAAGCTGCAGGATTTGAACAGGAGGGGGAGTATCCTTGGAGCACAATAACTAAGGTGGTGATGTAGGTGGTTTGGAAGGAGACAAACAGCAGAATATTTTATAACAGAGTTAAACCTCTGTCTGAAATGATTAGATGGGTGGTTTCTGCAACATTGCACTCATGGCTCTCTCAGCCCATGAGCTGTTCAAAGGAATATCATACCACGAGTATTTTGAGCATTCAATGTTTCAATTTTATTTGGTTAAAGATGCTGCATATAATGCTGTATAGCTGGTTTTTGTAGACCAAAAGTCTAATTGTACATCCTTTAAGCCTCATGTATAGGCTACTTGCTGTACACGGAGCGTACTTGTACATGATATGGATTTTTTATCAAGTATTGTATTGTATGTATCAAAACCAAAGGACAAAAGATCCTCATACAACAAGGGACTGTACAAGGAACTTATACAAAATCCAGACAAATAACACAAGCAGCCCACCCCTCCCAATACACAAACCATAAACTAAGCAAATAAAATATCCACATCAAAAACCTTGTTGTAGGGTTACCCCTATGGTTAGATAGATAGCCAAGAGCACAGTGTGCCTTAAACCTACTAAGCATTGTCCTAAATTGTTATTTTCTTCATTTATGTCAGTAGTATGACATTAGGTAAAAAAAAAATGTAGTCAAGAGTAGCCTTCTCATAACACTTCTGCATAAGAAGATCTTATGGTTCCCTTTATCAATAACCTTGTTAGTTATCAGCAATTGGTTTGAGCACAGGTACATCTAATTTAGGATGTGAAAATGTAGCATCACATATTCACATAAGAGTCATGTCAAGCAGTACAAGGTGCTCTAATGTAAAAGATGTCACTCATGTGAGAATTAAGTTTAAACCTGTGCTGCACTGTGTGCCATGGGATATATTGCCGATTGAGCATAGACAAGAGAAGGCCATGACCCAGGTCCAGATTGGCAGACCAAATCTGTCAATTAAAAAATATGCAATCAATCAACTACCTTACAGCACTATGAATACATGCAGAAAACCAAATGTTGCAAAGCCAGTCACAAGCATCAGACTCTGAAATGGGTTCCACTGCCAAGTGTTTAAAAATGTGAACCCCCACCATCAAAGGCAAAAAAGATAATAACAAATTATGGAAAATGACATTTTTAATGCAAGGGAATATGCCACAAACTTGCAATGACAATGCAACATAAAATAAATTTAACTTTAACATCCAACTTACGATTAAAATAACAATGTTATATCATACATAAAAATGAATTATGAAAAAAAAAAAAGACGAAAACCCATTATTGCAAGAAGTTGGTCTGTGATGCAATTCAGGGAACATGTTAAAGGAAATTCAAGCAGACCACATGTTGCAAGCATTTACTGACACAATAATTTCTTCGCCGGCCAGGTGGCCATTCATCACCCTAGGAGTCTACTATATTACCACAATCCTAAAACCATGGTTTATAAAAGTTCTGTAGCTGAGCTGATTAACAGTTCTTTGAACTTACAAGTTCAATTGGAAAGAAGATCAGCTAAATTGAGTTGCTACAGTCACAATCAATACAACAAAGGTAACATATACTAGTAAATCATATTCAAGCAGTATTGCACAACTTCAAATAAAAGCTTACCAAGACCACCAGTCCCAGATGCTTCAACATTTATAAAAGCTCCAATTGTATTACGCCATTTATGTGTCTTCATGAAGCCATGTGAACCCTGGAACACTGCATGTCTGTCAAAAGGCTTAAGAGACACATATCCATTGCATAGAACAGGATAGGAATCTGAGAGATCTGAATTTGATCTGAAATCCAACAGGTATGCAAAACATAGATTCAAATTTGATTTGTTTATATATCTTCAAAACCACTTCAATTAAAATATTAATAAATCTATATAAAATTTGCACAAATTTGTAGAATTAAATATAAAACAAAGATATATACCATAAATGGAAAAATAAGCTTATCCAGATCCCAAAACCAACATAATTCTAAAGAATTTTAATATAAAAAATAATAATATGTATATACATAATCAGATAGGATCCTAGCAAATCAGATCAAGCAATGTCTGAATTCTATCCAGTTAATAAACAATCATATTTTCAGATCCGACTTAATCTGATTATGGATAAATGGATATCAGAATCCCACAATAAACTAGATTCAATCCAATCCATCTGTAGCCCTAGATTTTACAAATTCATAATAGGCAAAATTCTCAAAAGTGTTGTATGTGTACATGCATATGTACAGAAGTTTTCAAACAATAAAGTATGATAGAAGGTGTTTTGCTTGCCTCACTTGTGAGGCATAAAATATTGCAGAGTTTCTAAGTCCAGATCGATAAGGATAAATTGTGTCACTTGCCAAAAGAAATAAGTATAAAGTATAAAGTCCCAACCCTATAAAAACTAAAAGTAGGCACATAGAGCAGCCAAAGTCCTTATTGATAGTTCCCCTATACAAAGTATGCATAAGAATTACTCTATTATGAAAAATGTCCCCAAGACTAAGGAGTTAGGAGGTTCATAAACCCAATAGGTTTATGAACATTCTTGGTGCTGATTTTTGGAACATTCTTGAGTTGGTTTAGAATTAGAAGCTTTGTCTTTCTTTTGTCTTTTGTTTCTTCGATTCGTTTGGTTCTACTTTCTATTCTGTCTTGTAATTTTGGTGATCTCTCATCACCCTCAGTTATACCTCTTTCTATTTTAATAAATTTTCTTTTTATTTACTACCTAAAAAAGAATTTACAGTGTAAGAAAATATTTTGAAATGTGATATATCTGTTTCTGATAAGCAATGCTCAATATCCACCAAAGAGTTACAAGGATGAACAAACTTGGAATTTTGGAAATTAATAATCCCATTATTGACATGAAGAAATGATTAAGACAAGCTCTATCAGAAATAGAGGGAAAATGATTAAAATGGAATATTATGATAAAGGGAAGTCTGTTGACAAATTTAGTATCGGAGAAAAATTCTTACCAAGAGAAAAAGTTCTTCTGCACCATTAAAAAGAAATATGATTGGTCGAGGTGGAACCCAGTTAGAATCAACTGTTAGTCTTGCTATTTCAAGCATTGATGCTGGGAGGAAAAAAGAAACATGAAAAAATACACTATAAGAGAAACATTCAATGAATACATCCTAGCGTAGAAACTGAGATCATTGATCCCACCAACGCATGAAGCACAATCGCCAGCGCCAGGAGAGCCAAGCGGACTATCAAAATGGCCATTGACTAAAACTGATGGATCACTATCTTGTGTATTAGTCGATGATATCCTGGAAAGTAGCTGAACTTATTAACAACATTTCAACAGCAATCCAAACAATGAAATGCTAATAGCAACCTAAGAACCACCAATTAAATAAAGCATCAACTCATGCATATATCCAGAAAGACAACAAAGGAGCAACGCTTAGATGATCTTCATCATTTGAAGTTGGACACATCATTTGTGGATGTTTTTCTTCTTTTTCTTTCCTTTCCCTTTGTTTCCTTTTCTTCTTTTTGGTGTGCATCTATCTTTAATGTACAAGAAATAACATAAAGTAACCAACACACACACACACACACACACCAAAAAAAAAAATCAATGGGAAGCACCTCATAGCAATATTGGTGTGATTCCTGTACCCGAGAGATATGCCATGGCCCAAAAACATCATGTTGAAAGAACCACCGACAAGAGTTTCCTCAATCTCAATTCTGTGAAACGGGTAACAACAATTACTCCGAAGAAAAGCAAACCAAACTATTAACTATTACAAGTGATAAAAAAAAGGTAAAACTGATAACAGCAAGAAAACGTGAGATGAACCTACCGTGAATTGCACTCTCGATGAACTTAAATAACAAAGCGATCCGATGAGCTTAAATAACAAAACGAAAACGATGAACAGAACATCATACATGCCAAAACATTATACCGACCTGATATTCGGTGCAGCCCGCTCGGCTATCATCTCTAGCTGCTTTTTTATGTATTTAGCAGCTTCCTCTAAACCTGGACGCCCTTCCTGGTGACATTTCACAGCGATTACTCTCTTATGACCAATCAATCAATCAATCAATTACACAATAAATTAGATGAAATGAATAATCTTATACCCACTTGACGACCGTCGATTTCTTTGGAAAGCTTCCATATGTGCTCGACGGCTCTCGCTTCCGAAAACCGATCGAGGGGCGCGTCGATCCCGAGGGGTTTGATGTGCTTAATGTGGACGATCGAATACACTAAAAACGACATGAGACCATACAGAATTCCTAGAGAAACAAGACATTTAAAGCCTGCGAGATCTCCGGAGCTAAGTCTTGACGCCATTTTCAATGTACAGGTCCAATGTTGCTGATCCGAAGACGCCAGACTACAGAAGCTGGATCGACCTTTGCGCTCCAGACGCGAAACTCAACACCTGAGATGCGCAACTCGAATTCAAGACTCTCCGCTCCTAAGTTATGCCTAGAGATTGGCTCACCCCCGGTGTGAGAAGACGGAGAAGCTCGAGGCACAGAGAGGTTGCGTATCTGATGGTTACCTACCGGCGGGATTCTTCGCTGGATCTTCAATAAGTTCAGATTGCCGCGTAAATGAAAGTATTCGAGGACTTTGAGCATCGAGGATATCAACGGGTTTGGTTCAACCCGTAACCAAGCGAAACCACACCAGCACAATTATACGAGGAGGAAGAATGTCGAACACGATCCAAGCCGATCCGTTCCACTAATAATTATACTTGTATATTTAGCGCTTCGCAGCCTTCGCTATGTGTACAAATGTTCAATCCTACGGTGTCAACGGTCGGATTTGGCACAGATTTATCTCTAACCTTTCACCCGAAAATAAATCTCAAACCGAACCCGAATGTCTAGTCCGACACTAACACGATGCGATCAGGTCAAAATGGATCTATCTATCGCTTAACCCGACCGGCAGAATTCCGGAATCCAACGACGCATCCCTCCAATAGGTAACGAACAGATCCGTGCGTGCGTAAAAGAGGTGCCTTTAACCCGGTCTTCAATCAGGTCGAAGAGGAATATAAGTGGAGCTACCATCGGGAAATTTATTTTCTTTTGCTATTAGTGAACAAAATGGACTTTAATAAATGTAAGGGAATTTTTCTGATTAATATCTTGTAATTTGGATCCAGTGACAATTTTATCTCCAAACTTTAAAATGTTCTGCCATTAAGTGGCATTTGAAAAGTCAAAAATGCTCTAAGAATGTCATCTAATTATCTTTATCAACCATCCAAACATTGACAATAAAATGAAGAATCTCAAACTTTAGATTCTTCTAAACATTCACCATTTTTTTTGAATAAAATAGGCTAGGGTTTGGGAATGTTTAGTTTTTTGTCAATATTTAGTGGTAGGTACTGGATTGTCACATCTTGAAAGTTTGGGTACTGGATTGTCACATTTTGAAAGTTCGGGTATTGAATTGTTCACATTTTTAAGTTCAAACACCAAATTGTTACTTGAACCAAAGTATAGGATACTTATTAGGAATTTTCCCTAAATGTGAACTGTGATAGTGTTTGGTTGCATTGATGTTTATTGGCGTGATTTACAAAAATAAACGCCCACGACCATCAACATCCACACAACGGTATGTATACGCCATATGTGTTGTTTGGTAGCGCGCACGTGGATGCCATGCTGGCATTGAAGGGGCGTTTTCCCCCAGCAATTTTGTTTGGCAACAGTTTCTTGTTGTTGTGTTTTCTCTCGTACATATGCAATTCCGTAATACCTATTGCATGGTAAAATCCATTCTCTTTTTTTTTTTTTTTACGGGTCCATCTAACGGTCCATAATTGAACTCCATCTCATATTATTGTATTTACATCAATAAATATCCAGATTTCAATCAAATGGTCCAAATTTCACATATCATGCAACAAGGTGGTGTTTAGTATTAAGTCAAAGGTTAAAGCCTAACGTTAAAGTCCAGTATAAATGGATTTTTCATTCATCGACCGGTTTGTAGTAGCATTTAAAAAAATTAAAAAATAATAATAATAAAGTGGATTTGGTGGCTATCATACCGCATTCTTCTCAAAGGGGTGTTTTGCATCCACCTAGCCACCCCCTTCATCAACTACCCATGCAACTCCAATGGATCCCAATTTATCTTCAACTTACTTTCCACCCCTTTATGGAGGTCCTAAAAAGTAATACATGTCAAAGCCACAAAAAAACTCTCCCTTATGATATTCAGTTACAATGTTTGAGGGAGTCTTGGTTTTTTCCTTTCTTTTATGAAAACTCAATAAATATGTCCAACTTTTGTCCAAAAAAGCATAGAAAATAGTCATATGGAACAAGTATAAAGCCTCCCATACACAATAGAATAAACTCAAAAGTCATGACTTGGTGTCCATACAAATTTGAGTATGGTATCACCCAGTCACTAGGCAGCATCATATATGAACCAGATACCAAGCGGACAAATTTGAGTTTGGCATCACCCATGCTAATTACCATTGGAAAACTTCATTACCCCATAGATATTAGTAACCTGTGTTTGATATCAATACATACATATGCAAAATGATTGTAAATTCCAATTAATAAGTAGTTGGGTACATATACATAGAATATGATTGTCCTTAATCCTGCCTACTAATGCTATGCAAAGAGTCATTTTCATGCCGACAATGTATTATTGTCCACACCAATAATAGAAGGTAAACGATGTTGCAACCACAACAAGCTATCAATGCAATATATTTATTGTTCTGTTGAGGCTGCATATTGGATGAACTGGCATGGTAGACATCGATCCTATGTGCTATGAGACGGACACCAACATACTGATCCGCCAAAATAAATGAACCCTTGTGCTCGCCCTGACAACAGAAAAACCACCTCCCATGTTATTTTCCATTATTGCCATGTGCAATGTCATCTCTCCATTGCCACACAAGCAAGTTAGAATAAATATTCCATCAGTTATTTATGCATGAAAAATATCATACCTAATATGTTATGATTAAAAATTTGTCATTTTAACATTTCTCAAAATGTTGAAACAAATAAAGTACCATGCTAATCTCAGGTAATTCAAGCAAAATACAGTCCAATCCACATGTAATATAAAGACATTACGACCAAAATAACAGTGCAAACACACTACATGTGTTAAAACCTCTATTTGCCAAAATTCAGTCAAATTGGCACCCGGCACATCATTCAACTCTCCGGCCAAGTATTTGGTGCCTATCCCACAATGCAATAACAATTCGATCTCTGATTGTTTCCACTTATGCATTTGAGGTTGATGCAACTATCGTATCATCATGGTAGTCGTCATCATCATCATCATCAAAATCATCAACATTTTCGTAGTTGCCAATATATTGGTCCTCACACGCATGAAGTTGTATATGATAAATCATGCCATGACAATAAGCCATTGGAAATCTAAATCATAGCATGACATGTTTTTTAATATAAGGAACTTCCCCTTTAAGATGCCAAAGCATCGTTCGATGACATGTGTATTTTGTAGTGAAGCCAGGGAAATGTTTTATAGTGAGGCCAAGATACACATGTAAGACATAAAACAAAAACCTTTAACATACGAATTACCCAATTCACCAAGAGGTCTTGGGAACCCCACATTTGTCCTAACAATTGTTTTCGCTAAAATCCTCGAATCATGTGCCAATCATTCCCATATCGTGTACACAAATGTAAATAACATATCAAAATCACAAACAAGTAGAACATTTGAAGTGCATACCTTCTTTATCCCCTATGAGGTATTTGTTCAACAATTAGGACACTAGTTGATACATGTGTATTGTTTATAGCTCCCACACAATCCTAAATCATAACTACCAAAATGAGAACAACTTATATGGAAGGGGTTAATGTTATTGTAAATTAACATGTTTATTTACCTTGATCATAGGTAATATCTCTCATACTTCTAATAAATGGTTAAATTTCTGTGATTGTGTGTGGCCTTACGAACTCCTTCCCAACTCTACAAAATGCATGCACAACATTCATTGTGTGTGTATTGATGGTCCATGAGGAGTGCTGGAATCATTCACCCATGAGTCAATTTTGCTCATTATGGCCAATTGTAAGTATAAAAAATGCAAGTGACTCATCAACAGTAGTGCTTTGAGTGTTCTTTAACATCCACCTCTTTTTAATTAGGGTTACAAGATTATTGAAGACATACCTTTCCATCCAAAGTGAGATATAACACTTGTCTGTGTGCTCTAGGTCATTAAGGACTTCATCCCACATATACCTATGCCCACTCAAAGAAGAGGTCATAGAACGTTGTTTTGTTTTGTGGTGTATATGTGTGTAGTAGAGAAGAAGTCATAATGGAAGCTATTGTTATCTCATCTTTCGAAGATGAATCAAGCTCAACTACACTTCGACTTCGTCGATGAATATCAATGTGATATACTGATGTGAAATAAGCATGATGATCAAATAGTTATGCAAAAGTATAATATGGATATAAATAATCATAACCAACAAGTATATATGCACCAATATCATGAAAATAACAACTGCATTTAACATTAGAGCTTGAGGAAATAGCGAGTGGATAAAAGTTGAAGCAAAAAAAAATCACCAACTACATATAAGGTTCCATATTCTAAAAATGTTAAAAGATGTTGGCAAAATAACAAACAAGGGAACATAACCATAAGTAGATATCAAATAGGTTTAGTCAAGTGCATAAAAGATAAAGCTAGTAATGAATGGGTCATGGATGTGACGAACTATTCTTATCCAAACCATAAAGCCAATAAATCCTTAGTTTAGGAGGGATTGCAATGAATGTGTTCCTCTACTTTTCCTCATTAAACAATTGAGTGGCCTTGAAGTAGCAAGTTGGAGACAATCCTTTTACCTGAAATACAGAGTTTATGATTCCGAGGCATGCCTCTAGTTGATTAATTTCTCATGCCTTTATAACCTCTTGTTGCATTGCCTTATCTCTTTCCATTTCCTGTACTCTCTCCTTGCCTCTGTCCTTTTAAACTTCTTAAACCCTTGCTCTATCCATCTCCATAGTTCTTTATCTCTTGATTGTACCCTCAAAGAAATCTATCTTACGATTGCTAACTTCTACAAATGAACCAATAATTACATCAATACCTTGAGAGATGCAAGGTTTCTTTCCTTTCTTCATGCTGGTGAGGGGATTTCCAACTCACTTGTTATGCTATGGGAGTTGTAGTTGTGTTTCATCATTGAGATCAACAATGTTGGGATTGGCCAGAGATTCCCTAGAGGTTGGTGTATGTTGATCATTTAGGTGGATGATTGGGGGATGGACTATTTGTTTGCTAGCTAGGCTCACCAATACCTATATCAAGTGAGAGCTCCTTATCTTTAGTTTGTTGTGTTCATCTAGAAATATAGTCTAAGTCATCCCAATGGCAATAAACATTGGTCATATCTTTTTGTGCCCAACAGTAAGTCCACACATAAATTGGTAATTAGGGTTCTAAGCTATAACAAATGTACAACATTGTGGCTTACCTTAGGATTTTTTGTCAAATGATCTATAGTCACCCCAGCATCAATAAGAAGAATTAAGTGCTATTGTTGGCGTTGTCTAAGTGTACGAAAATT